GAATTAGAAAAAAATTGCCATCAATACAGTGAGGATACAGACAAATTCAAATGCTCGAGTTTTCCAAGCTTTAGAAATAAGTCCTGATAATGATCCAGAAAAGGATGTATTCAACTTTTGTTAGCGAGAATACATGATAAAATCAATGAAAAAAGATGCCGTGTAGGATATTCAGGCCCAGTCAAGTTTAGCAGACAATTGATCAAAGGGTCGACTTTACTTATCGCTTTGGCGAGTTTTAGTGTGGGGTTAATAATGCCAAGGATCACTGACGATGCCGACTACGATGCCAGCGGAACGTCTGGGAATGTACCGCATCCATGATCCGACTCTGTAAATTGTTATTCATACTATGGACTCCGGACAAGGTGCGTTCGTCTAGGTCTTCCTGCCGACATAAACAAGTTTCAAAACCAAGGTCAAACAACTTCTATAGGTATCATAATTTTTAAGTAGAAAATAATCAGATGATATTTATTTTGTCTCACAAGAGCAAGTGGACAAGGGAAAAATGTGTCTAACTAGAATCACATATATAACTTACAGCATATGAATTGAAGACTGTATTCCATGGTCTTCTTTCATAATTTTTCGAGTGCAATAGGCCAGTGCATCCTACATAAAAGTAAGATTTTAAACACGAAAGTTAAGAAGCATGATGCAAGTGAAGGGAAGTTCACATGTTGACAGTCAAGGTATTCCTCAATGTAAATATGACGTTTGAAAAACACATTTTTATCGAATAATAAAAAATTAATAAAGATAGTATATATGAATACCAATACGGTGGTCTTCTGTTTAGCCATAGCCGCCTTTAGTTTTATAGTGATGGTATGAACTCGTTTTCGCAACTTGGTCTGAACATTTGAGAGAACTCATGGATCATGCATCCTCTGCTATAGTATTCATGATTCCCAGTGTCGGACCGTTGACTTGATAGATTCCCAAACGTTTCAAAGGCATCGTAGTCGGCATCGTCAGTAATAGGAGACATCTTTAGCACATATTTACAATTGATCAAAGTGACAATTGGGGTTG